CTTTTTACTTAACTTAGGGGCACACTACACTACATGGGCACGTTTTTTTTTATACACACTCATCCGATTTTCTTTTATTTATCTAATATTCTTTGGGCTTATTTCTTTTTCCTTTTATACCATGGGGGGAAATTAAAGAATCTTTCCTCCCTAAGCCAGCTGTTTTAAAAGCAACTAAAAAGCCGGAAAAATGGCTATAACCCCTTTTTTTCCTGTAAAGATTTCTAAAAGAAAAAAGAAAAAAAAATTTTCAAAGTGGGAAGTCTAAAGTGAGTGGATTTGTGCAAAATAAGAAAGAAGATGTGGATGTTTGAATGAGAAAAAAACGATGCCTGGGTTTTAAATGAAACAAAGCAAGGGGGTGGAGAGTTTTTAATGGAGAGAATAAATGGGGTTGGTCGGGTTTTTAAATAGAGTTTGAGCAAAAAGGGTAGCAAAAATGTTGAAGGGTAAGCTATGGGAGGGAAAAAAGGGGCTACAAATGTATAAATTTTAAGGGTTATTTGGGGGTAAAATAAAAATTTGGGTGTGAAAAGGGATTATATAAGCGTGAAATGCACCTGGAGAAGAAGAAGTGTAGAGGAGAGAGAGAGATTCTGGAAATGTTGAGTGAATGCGTGGGGGGTTTTGAATCAAGTGTGAGAGTAATGGTGGTTGGGGATTTCAATGCTAAGTGGGTAAAAATGTTATGGAGGGAGTAGTAGGTAATTTTGGGGTGCCAGGGGTAAATGTAAATGGGGAGCCTTTAATTGAGCTATGTGTAGAAAAAATTTGGTAATAATTAATACATATTTATGAAAAAGAGGATAAATAAATAAAACAAGGTATGATGTAAACACGTAATGAAAGTAGTTTGTTAGATTATTATTGGTGGATAAAAGTTGATGGTAGGCTCCAGGATTACATGTTTATAGAGGGGCAACTGATAATCGGGTCATTATTTAGTTTGTAGCTACATTAGAGTAAGAGGGAGATGGGAAAAGAGGAAGTGGCAACAACAAGTAAGAGGGAGGTGAAAGTGTATAAACTAAGGAGGAGGAAGTTAGGGCAGATATAACGACTATTGGCAGAAAGGTGGGCTAGTGCAAAGATGAGTAGTGGGGGGTTGAAGAGGGTTGGAATAGTTTTAAAAATGCAGTATTAGAATGTGGGGAAAGAAGTTTGTGGTTATAGAGGGGGGGGGCAGGGGGAAAGAGGATGATTGGTGGAATGATGAAAGTAAAGGGTGTGATAAAAGAGAAAAAGTAGCTTCGAGAGGTTTTTAAAAAAGCAGAAGTGTTATAAGAAGAGCAAGTATATGGAGAGTAAAAGAAAGGTGAAGAGAGTGGTGAAGAGTGCAAAAGGAGAGCAGATGAAAGAGGGAGGGGCACTGTCAAGAAATTTTAATGAAAATAAGAAAAAATTTTGGAGTGAGTTAAACAATTTTAAGAAAGCCTAGGGAAAGTATGGATTTGTCAGTTAAAAACAGAGTAGGGGAGTTAGTAATGGGAGAGGGAGATTAGGGTAGATGGCGAAATAATTTTGAGGAACTTTTAAATGTTAAGGAAGAAAGGGAGGCGGTAATTTCATGCACTGGCCAGGGAGGTATACCATCTTTTAGGAGTGAAGAAGAGCAGAATGTAAGTGTGGTGGGGGTACTGAGGCATTACGTAGAATGAAAGGGGGTAAAGCAGCTGAACTGATGGGATCATGACAGAAATGTTAAAAGCAGGGGGATATAGTGTTGAGTGGTTGGTACTTTTGTTTAATAAATGTATGAAAGAGGGAAGGTACCTAGGGATTGGCGGAGAGCATGTATAGTCCCTTATATAAAGGGAAAGGGACAAAAGAGAAATTTTAAAAATTATAGAGGAATAAGTTTACTGAGTATACCAGGAAAAGTATACGGTAGGGTATAAATTGAAAGAATTAGAGGTAAACAGAATGTAGAATTGCGGATGAACAGGGGGTTTTAGAGTGGGTAGGGATGTGTAGATCAAGTGTTTACATTGAAGCATATATGTGAACAGTATTTAGATAAAGGTAGGGAAGTTTTTATTGCATTTATGGATTTAGAAAAGGCATAGATAGAGTGGATAGAGGAGCAATGTGCAGATGTTGCAAGTATATGGAATAGGTGGTAAGTTACTAAATGCTGTAAAGAGCTTTTATGAGATAGTGAGGCTCAGGTTAGGGTGTGAAAGAAAAAGGGAAATACTTCCCGGTAAAAGTAGGTTTTTAGACGGGGATGTGTAATGTCACCATGGTTTTTAATATTTTTATAGATGGGGTTGTAAAAGAAGTAAATGCTAGGGTGTTCGGGAGAGGGGTGGGATTAAATTATGGGGAATCAAATTCAAAATGGGAATTGACACAGTTACTTTTTGCTGATGATACTGTGCTTATGGAGATTCTAAAGAAAAATTGCAAAGTTAGTGGATGAGTTTGAGAATGTGTGTAAAGGTAGAAAGTTGAAAGTGAACATAGAAAAGAGTAAGGTGATGAGGGTATCAAAGTTTTTAGATAAAGAAAAATTGGATATCAAATTGGGGAGGAGTTATGGAAGAAGTGAATGTTTTCAGATATTTGGGGAGTTGACGTGTCGCGGATGGATTTATGAAGGATGGGGTTAATCAAAAAGAATTTGATGAGGGAAAAAAGGTGAGTGGTGCGTTGGTATATTGGAGTCAAAAAACGTTATCTTGGAGGCAAAGTAGGGAATGTATGAAAGTATAGTAGTACCAACACCTTATGGGTGTGAAACTTGGGTGGTAAATGCAGCAGCGAGGGGACGGTTGGAGGCAGTGGAGATGTCCTGTCTAAGGCAAGTGTGGTGTAAATATTATGCAGAAAATTCGGAGGTGGAAATTAGGAGAAGGTGTGGAGTTAATAAAAGCATTAGTCAGAGGCAGAAGAGGGGGTTTTTGAGGTGGGTTTGGTCATTTTTGAGAGAATGGATCAAAAGTAGAATGACATGGAAAACATATAAATCTATAGGGGAAGAAAGAGGGTAGGGGTCGGGCCTCGAAAGGGTTGGAAAAAGGGGTAAAGGAGGTTTTGTGGTGAGGGGCTTGGACTTCCAGCAAGCGTGCATGAGCGTGTTAGATGGATGAATGGAGACGAATGATACTTGGGACCTGACGATCTGTTGGAGTGTGAGCAGGGTAAATTTAGTGAAGGGATTCAGGAAACCGGGTTTTTTTCATAAGTTTGGACTTGAGTCCTGGGAAAAGGGAAGTAACAATGCCTTTCACTTTAAAGGAGGGGTTTGGGGTATTGGCAGTTTGGAGGGATATGTTTTTGTATCTCTATACTATATGCTTCTAAACTGTTAATTCTGACACCTCTGCAAAAGCAGTGATAATGTGTGAGTGTGGTGAAAGTGTGAATGATGATGAAAGTATTTTCTTTTGGGTTTTTCTTTCTTTTTTGGGTCACCCTCCCTCGGTGGGAGACGACCGACTTGTTGAAAAAAAAAAAAAAAAAAAAAAAAAAAAAAAAAAAAAAAAATAATATATTTTATAATATATATAATATATATATATATATATTATATATATATAATATATATATATATATATTATATATAATATATATATATATATATAAAATATAATATATATATATATATATATATAAATATATATATATTCAACAAGTCTGCGTCTCCCACCGAGGCAGGGTGACCCAAAAAAGAAAGAAAACCCCCAAAAAAGAAAATACTTTCATCATCATTCAACACTTTCACCACACTCACACATTATCACTTTTTTACAGGGGTGCTCAGAATACAACAGTTTAGAAGCATATACGTATAAAGATACACAACATATCCCTCCAAACTGCCAATATCCCAAACTCCTCCTCTAGAGTGCAGGCATTGAAACTTCCCATTTCCAGGACCCCAAGTCCGACTATATGAAAATAAATAAATATATAATATATATATATAAAATATATATTATAAAATATATATATATATATATATAAAATTATATATTTTATATATATATATATATATATATATATATATTTTACTTAGAGTATACCATAATTCTTACTTAAAGGTTTGACATGTTTCTTGACTGGTGAAGTCCAGGTGACATGCAGCCTTAATGATCCTCGTGTAGTAGATAGGCTTCAAACTTGTAAAAAGAAGAGTTCAGACAAAGGTTAATAAAACACTTAAACAGTTTATTAAGCAATATTACGGAGCATAGAAAACAAAAAAGCATCAATATTTGGTATTTTGAGTAATGCTAGTATTACCTTATTAATTCTTTGGTACTCGATCTTCGCCAAAGTTCTTTTTTCTCGAAGATTATATGTAAATCAACTGTGAACTTTAAACTTGTAGAAGGTCTGCTTAAAAAAGAATACTCAGAAGCAGAGGTCAGTGTCCCGAACGTGCTTAACCTGGCCTAAACATTGATGTCAGCCAGAGGGCAAGTTTTTTAGTGCTAGGTGCGGAGAACACGGTAGCTGCGCTCTGTTGATACCCTTGTGAAGGACACCATCACTTACACAGTAGCTTCTGGTTCTCGCTCGACCCTGCAACATGGTTTTGCAATATTCCCTTCAAGGGGGTGGAGAAGGTTCCCTGATGCAGGTGAAGGGCTTTTGCTCCCGTGAAGTGGCTCAGTAAAAGAGGTGTCTTGATGCCGGTGAGAGGCTCTGGTTCCAAGAAAGGGGATTTATCCTCCCCTTCCTTAGGTCGAACCTGTAGGACTCCGCATTCCCAATGCGTTGTTTAACCCCTATGGGATTAACGCATCTCGTAGCGTTATCTCCAGAGAGAGAGAGAGAGAGAGAGAGAGAGAGAGAGAGAGAGAGAGAGAGAGAGAGAGAGAGAGAGAGAGAGAGAGAGAGAGAGAGTTAAATAATGCTAATATTATCTAAAGTAATCTCGTTCATTCCTGTTGTTTCTGTGTACCAAAATCGCCGTTCAAACACCGACTAGTCTTGCCAAGAACGCAGATAGAAATAATCTAGTTCGTTACTGGGCGAGCCTGGGATATAACCAGCAGGTGTTGCTGACTCAACATGCAGAGAGTGCTGTGTCGAGTGAGAATACATGTAGTCCTGGGGAGAGCGAATAAACAGGATAATACACGAAGTTCCTGGAGAAGAGTGAACACTGAATAATACGCAGGGAGCCTTGGGAAGAGTGAACACTGGATAATACGCAGGGAGCTTTGGGAAGAGTGAACACTGGATAATAGGCAGGGAGCCTTGGGAAGAGTGAACACTGGATAATACGCAGGGAGCTTTGGGAAGAGTGAACACCGGATAATCCGCAGGGAGCCTTGAGGAGAGTGAACACTAAATAATACGCAGGGAGAATTGGGAAGAGTGAACACAAGATAACACACGAGGTTCCTTGAAAACGATTGAACACCCACAATAAAGTTGCAAACGACTGAACACGGATGTCTGTGTACTATTGAACACATAAATAGTGAAATTAACTACACAGAACTGTGTTCAGTGAGCATAAATCTCCACCATGAAGATCTCAGTAATATTCTTATCAATTATATTTCTGGCTCTTTCAAGTAAGTAACATCCATGAATTAATTTTAATACATACATTAAGATTCTATGTATAGTGCTTATACATAAGTATACATGAAGTGAAAAGTGTGTATATCTGTATGCGGGCCTACACCTCTTCCTAGCCCATGAATATATATATATATATATATATAATATATATATATATATATATATATATGTATGTGTGTGTGGTGTGTGTGTGTGTGTGTGTGTGTGTGTGTGTGTGTGTGTGTGTGTGTGGTGTGTGTGTGTGTGTGTGTTGTGGGTGTGAATATAATGCAGAGAATTCGTAATTTGGAAGTTAGGAGGAGGTGCGGAATTACCAAAACTGTTGTCCAGAGGGCTGAGGAAGGGTTGTTAAGGTGGTTCGGACATGTAGAGAGAATGGAGCGAAACAGAGTGACTTCAAGAGTGTATCAGTCTGTAGTGGAAGGAAGGCGGGGTAGAGGTCGGCCTAGGAAAGGTTGGAGGGAGGGGTAAAGGAGGTTTTGTGTGCGAGGGCTTGGACTTCCAGCAGGCATGCGTGAGCGTGTTTGATAGGAGTGAATGGAGACAAATGGTTTTTAATACTTGACGTGCTGTTGGAGTGTGAGCAAAGTAACATTTATGAAGGGGTTCAGGGAAACCGCCAGGCCAGACTTGAGTCCTGGAGATGGGAAGTACAGTGCCTGCACTCTGAAGGAGGAGTGTTTAATGTTGCAGTTTAAAAACTGTAGTGTAAAGCACCCTTCTGGCAAGACAGTGATGGAGTGAATGATGGTGAAAGTTTTTCTTTTTTCGGGCCACCCTGGGCCTTGGTGGGAATCGGCCAGTGTGAAAAAAATATAATATATATATATATATATAAAATATATTATATATAAAATATATATATATATATATATATATATATATATAATATATATATATATATATTATATATATATATAAGTGTATATCTTTGCATATGTATAGGGGCTTACATATGTATAGATGCTGAAAATACGTATCTGCACTTATACGTGATGCATATCTTAATACACACTCAAATTTTTGTACACACAGAGATGTATATCTGTACATACACACATGAATATGTATACGTACATGGGAATGTATCTCTCTGTGTACATTGTGACATGTACTTAATGTGCATACACAAATTATTCATCTCTGAGTGTACATACATACAGAGAGAGAGAGAGAGAGAGAAGAGAGAGAGAGAGAGAGAGATAGAGAGAGAGAGATGGTGTATATAAAAACTAACTTGTCCAGATTTCACGTCGGAGACAAAGGCGAGATTTGTCGCAATGATTTTTTTTATATTATTTAACCATCTGTAGAAAGTCTTGGCACCACCACATCTGCAGGTTCGAGATCACTCACCTGTAGCTTTACCACATCATTCGCAAGGAGTATTGTCCACGACCTGTTAATGCATCACCAACGATCCTAAGCATCTCTCACCTGCCAAGACTGACGGAAATTACTAAAACTTGATACTGCGACCAGAACGATCTGTCCTAATGACGTTATTAAAGATAAAAATAAGAAAGACGTGAGTTTAATCAAATAATAATAATAATCAATTAATAAAAAGGCATAAATTAATAAGTCAATATTATTAATAATAATATATAACACTAAAACTACTGCACATACAATAAAAAATAATAGTAATAGTATACTAACTACCAACTAATATTAACACATACAACTAATAAATAATAATAATCAATAATAATAATAAAATAACTAATAGTAACTACTACTACTACAATATTAACAAATTACTAAAATATCTACAAACTATCTTACTCTAATAATAATATAACAATAATAATAAGAAATATTAATAATAAATAATAATAATAATAATAATAATAAAAATAATAATAATAACTACTAATAATAATATAAAAATAATAATAATAATATAATAATAACTATATAATATAATAATAATAATACACTAATAATAATAATAATAATAATAATAAATAATAATAATAATAATAATAATAATAATAATAATAATAATAATAGTAATAATTTTATTTGAGCAAGATATAATGTTAGTACAGATGGGTAACAGATGTACCTATAAAAAGCTTGAAGTTATGCGGAACATTTCAGGACTTGCCAAAATTTGGAATATTTGGAGCCTGTATAATGGATGAGAATTATTTACGTTCTCGTTATCGTCACTAAACGAGCAGTAGATATTAATTTGTTGCCGAGTATCCTGAATTTCAGTGATTTGTTCAGTTTATTCTCGAGGAGGGTAACAATGGCAGTATTCCTTTGTTGAATGTTTTCAACTTTAGGTCATCCGACAGCCTCCGGTTCGAAGTCTTTCGTAATCTCACTAAGATTAATGACCTCTTCTATTTCTGGCCTCACTACAACGCGAGTACTGAGAGAGGCGTCCTCGTAGGATTGTCTCTCGGGGCACGAAGAATAGAAGTCTCACACACTGAGGTCTGTGATTTGATTCCCGGTACGGGTGGAAACACTGGGCGTATTTCCTTAAGACACCTGCTGTCCTTGTTTACCTAACAGTTAATAGGTATCTGGGTGTTAGCTGACTGGTGTGGGTCTCATCCTGGAGGACAAAATTAACCTAAGTTTTACCCGACATGCTCTGCATAACAAGGGGTACTCTATATAGTACGTCATTGATGTCAGCTATAGGCTGTACACATTGTATTATGTACTTATAGAAATAAAGATCGTTATCATCATTATTAATGTCATGATAAATAAATATCACAACATTACTGGGATTTTAAGGCTAAAAAATAAATGACACAAAAATATTAACACACAAATAACTAAGAAAACTAGCCATGCCAGAGAAAAAGCAATTGGTACTCAACATCCGCTGTTTCAGAAAACGGAGATAAATCTTCGACAACGTTAATGTTACCATCACAGCTTCCACTATCAGAAGCATCACTAGATCTCACGACTGTGTTTCGTCATAAAAAAATATATATAACCTGGGAGGCTCATGATTGAGGCAGAGTCTGCAATTTCAGTGAGAGATGTGACCAGTAGATTTAGTGTTTTTTTTTTTTTAACTTCGTAAGAGTTACTCGTCAGATTAGGTGATATAGAAAGAAATTCAAGGTGAGCTGGAGGCTGGAAATATGCAGGAATGATTCCAGAATAGATAATAATAATAATTTTACTACTACTACTACTACTACTACTACTACTACTACTAATAATAATAATAATAATAATATTATTATTATTATTATTATTATTATTATTATTATTATTATTATTATTATTATCAAGGTAAACTCTAAATCCAAATCCCCAGAACAGGTCAGGGCTGATTGTTTCTGTGTGTGTGTGTGTGTGTGTGTGTGTGTGTGTTGTGTGTGTGTGTGTGGTTGTGTGTGTGTGTGTGTGTGTGTGTGTGTGTGTGTGTGTGTGTGTGTGTGTGTGTGTGTGTGTGTGTGACAGATAGAAAACAGCGTCCTGAAGGAACCTGAAATTTCAGCCCAAGACTGAGCGCAAAAAATCCACCTTCTCCCGAAATGCTAAAAATAAAGAAACCATCTACCCAACTGCCGTACTGTCTGGGCAAAAACAAAGCTTAAAATATTTACACTAAAAACTAAACAAGTGAGAGGACTGTGGGGGTAGGTGGAGGAGGGGACCCTATATAAGTAATTCTTGACTTGTACACGCCAAGGACAACAAAACCGGTGGCCCACAGGTAAAAACCAGGTACAAGACTAGCCACTCTACACAGACAGCATTAGTAAGCACCACTGCACAAATAACACAAAGCTACACATACTGTATGGCTCTGATTATTATAGCAGGTTAGGTTCTGAGCTACTGTATGGCCCCGCGTGTACAACAGGTTGGGTTCTGAGTTACTGTAGGGCCCCACGTGTATAACAGGTTATCTTTTGGGCTACTGCTGTCCAGCAAAAATCGCAGTAAAGTGAAACAAAGCATATTTTCACTTATAAGTGCATGTAAAACCCTTATAACATGTTGACACTATCATGTATCAAGTGAGCAATAGAGTTAGGCCTAAAAAATACATGTAGAGTACACACACTACTTACCTTAAAATATTTCCTTCCTTGGTTTACATTGAGTGGTGAATATATTTATAGTAGGAAGTCTGAATAAATGAAGAATGGATATAACTGACAACCGCTGTATTAGCGAGGCGCTGTGAAGTGAAGCGCCGTAAAGTGGGAGGCCCTCCTGTATAAACACAACACAAACATGACTACAGCAACACTACAGAGACAACACTGAAGAATGATGATATAATGCAAATTGCTGATGTGCCAATAGTCTGGTATCAGAACTTCAGGGAAGACCAAGCAAAGCTGTTGAGAAAACTTTGGACAATTCTAAAAATAAGTTGTATACTTAATATAGTTTCAGCAGGAACATCGTGTAATATATTATTACTAATATCAAAAAGGCACTAAACGTACAAGGGTCATACAGCATCTTGTAATATAGCTCCAACAGGAAACTTCAGAAAAATCCAGCAGTAATTCTACATGATTCACGAAATGATGACACACGCAAACGAAGTCGCTGAACCGTGGAATGTGAGCTCGATGAGTAGTGCACTAACACTAAACTAGTCCGTGGTTACGATCACCACGTTACATGGAAACATTAGACGTTTCCTTAAGACACTGCTGTCAGTTTAGTAACAGTAAATAGTACCGGTGTTAGTGACTGTAGTTGGTTGATCCTGGGACAAAATTGACCTAATTGCAGAAATATTCAGCATAATAAGCGCTTCTATATAGTAATATGCATGATGTCAGCTATGGTCTGTATACCTGTAATGTACTTGTAAAATAAAGCCGGAGTCTACCTACCTACCTGGAGTTACCTACACCGAATCATAACCTTCCTGAAGTCTACCTACACTACATGGAGTCTACTACCACTAAAGTCTACTTCCTGAAGTTAACCTCCTGAAGTCTACCTACCTACCTGAATTCTACTCCTGAAGTTACTA